ATAATGCCACTAAGACGAAAAGTGCTACAGGAAGTGAAAGAGAATGAAAGGACTTTAGAAGAAATCAGAAGCGTCAATTCTAAACAATAAAACAAAGTATACGCCCCTACTCCTGTTCAAAAGACCGGAGAGGAGTATGAACCGGGCGATAGACAAACTTATCTACCCCATGGAAATAGTAACAGACAGGCTCGTAACTTTGTGTCTGTAGGGAAAGAGCCTGTAGAGTTGGAAATATGTCATTCCCTACAAGACCGCTTAAATAACTTTGAATTTTTCCAGGGAAGGAAAGTGAAAAATGTGTATCTCCAGTAAATTACAGTAATATTTTAATTTTCGTCGAAGTCATTCAAAGATGAAGCAGAAGGGATTAAGCATTTCCTCGACTGGTAGAATGAACTGACCAATTTCTAGGCATCTTTAGCTATGGATCGTATTTGAGTCTCAATAAACGTACAAATAATTGTTGAGATGTTGAGTGTTTCCGCGTGCGTGTATTGAAATAAGGACAAACACATACTGGTATATCTGAAGAGGTATTTACAACAGAGAGATTAGTAGTCAAACGAACGCAGGTTAGTCAGTAACAATCAGAAAGAGTATAAAGTCCAACTGTATCTTCCGGTAGAGAGAGGGAAGTGTGATGGTCACCTGATCTTCCCAGAACTCTATAGAACTGTCCTATTAGTAGTAGAGAGATCAGTCCATTCTGATGAGAAGGTGGGTGCGCCCCAACAGTAATAGAACCACTTCGTGAATGAAACCGATAGTCACAATATAGTGTTGATTACTATGTCCATACTGCCTCTCTCTACCTCACCTCTCTTGGGTAATCAAATGACAATTTTCCCGTTTTTCATTGAGTTTCCCAAGGGATTACAGAAAGAGAAAGTGAAAAAGACTTAGAATAGGGAGGATTAAAGAAAGGACAAAATATGAAGGGGGTTCAAGAAGAAGACAGAAGATGGCAATTGGCATTATATTCAAATGTTTGAAGAATTTTAGTTAACAGAAAAGCAAGAAATTGAAAGAGATCGTCTTGGCAAATAGAGTTATTCATCTATGTCATTTCTAACTGGGTCCCACTTGTAAAATTATGCTCTTTTTTTTAATCAACACCTGTTTGGCTGTGATGATTGTACCTGATATACACATGGGGGGGGGCAATAATTTTGGATTGCACAAATTTTTTTTTAAAATAACTATAACTATGAATATAATAGATTGAACACACAAAAATTTAACGAACTGGGTTTTTTAAAAGTAAATATATATATATATATATATATATATATATATATATATATATATATATATATTTCGTGATAACAGCTGATACATTACTCTATTTATTGAACAATTTAGTTCATGCCACATTGACTGATAAATTACTACAACCAAAAATTCTCAAATTGCCATATTAGTAAAAAATGCAGTTTTAAATTTTCAAAAAAAAATTCAACCTTAGCATTGCGACTACACACTCCAAAAGTTTTTATCCGTTAACAATAACACATTTCTAAAAAAAAAAAATTCGACATTTAATCTTTCGTCTCTGATGCTACCTGGATTTACTAAAAACAAAATAATTTCCATGCCTGAGGATGACTGTGTGTACAGTTGAAAGTACTAGCAGATTTTAAATAGGACCTTATACAACTTGTAGTTATTATAAACAAGGATCATAACATTCATCGAGTGATTTGTAGGTTAATGCAACCTTAAAATTTTGTTTGCGAAGGGATTTCGCCATTTTATATCATTAACTTTACTAATCTACAGTATGAATAATTCATTGTAAATATATATATATTTATATATATATATATATATATATATATATATATATATATATAAATAAATTAATGACGTTTACTGAAATGAAAGTTATAGCATAAAAGTCTACTTTTCTCTCTACTGTGAATCTCCAGTCAGAGACTTGATATCTTCTGTTTCCATAATTCATTTTGCGAGAACGAATTATTCTAGACATGGTGTGGGGAAGGGTAACCAAATTACAACCGATGAAATCTTCATAGTTTCCATAGAACTCTGCACTAACGCTATCGTTAACATACATTGTATTATTGTAGACGATTTTTTTTTTAAATTCTTCAGACATTATGAGAATTGATGACGTACAAACAGAGGCGTCTAGTTATGCAACAGCCTTAAGAATTATGGTCAAGTGAATAGTTACAATAACTATTTCGTTCTGATCTCGGTGAACCATTCAAGTGGCCTTGTGCCAGACTAAATTTTATACTAAATACACAAGAGCCTCTCAAGGTAGAGATTTACTGCTAAAATCGTTTCGATGTATGAGGTGTGATATGAATGATAGAGACGGTGATAGGAAGTTGATTATGGAGGAAAAGGAGGATAGATAATGATTGTCACATGGCTTGAAGAGGTTAAGATTGCAATGTTCCGGGAAGCACCCAGGAGGGAGTCTGTTTCAATAATTAACCGTTCTTGGGAAAGGGTTGTTTGAGAGGAAATTTCTAACTTTTCTTTCTTCAGTTGAGGTAGCATGGCACATCCTCGGCGTTATGGTCGGGACTGGTGGAACTAAAGAATGGAGCGCTCATCTGAACATATACCATAGAAATAGCGATAGACTAGCGAGGTTGCGTTTGTGGGAAAGAAGCTGCATAGTGGGAAATGTGTCATCTTCCCAAAAGACGACGTATAACATGTTGAACTCTAGACAGAAAAATTAGGACGGAGTTCGACCAATTCAAATATTGCAGATATACCACACTTTGAAAAAAAGGTTCTTTTCTGTGAAAGTTCTTTCTTACATTGGGAACGACATTTCTCACCCTTTTCTATCTTGTGGCTCCTTTTTCAGGTCCACAGAAGAAAAAATAAAAATCCCATATAGCAGGAAATACATTTTATTTACGAAAGCAACGTTTAGTAGAAGATATAAATTGGGACTAAAACGATTGAATGTAGAAACGACTGAAAATTTGGCCCATTTTTAGTGTCAAAAAATGTCAGGTTCTATAAGCACAAATAGCATATCACTACTCTATCACGATTAATATGGCAGATTTTCAAACAAGTCACAGCTAACACCCGTCATGCTGTAGCAAATCACGATAGCAAATCATCGCAATGTCCTTTTTTTTTTAAGGAGCAAGTTCCACTCAGACTTTTTCTTCCCTAGAACTTTTACTTCGTAGAACAAACTCCTTGTTAACTACAATTTTGGTCTGTTCATGTCTAGAGTCAATCAATATCTATCCCGATGTTCCTCAACTTTTTCTTCCTTGTGTCTCATTTTTGGTGTCAACAAATTTCTGGTCCACATAAGCACAAATAGAAATTCAATGTAGCAGGAAATACATTCTGTTTATAAAAGCAACATTTTGTAGAAAATATAAATCTTGATTAAAATATTTGACTAGAAACGATTGAAAATTTGGCCCATTTTTGGTGTCAAAAACATTTCAGGCCCACATAAGCACAAGTTGAAATTCAATCTTTCTTAGCCTGTTTTGCCTTTATGTCTCTACGTCTGTTTCTCTTTATCTCTCTAAGCCTGTTTCTCTCTATTATTTCTTAGCCTGTTTCTCTCTATTATTTCTTAGCCTGTTTCTCTCTACCTTTCTTAGCCTGTTTCTCTCTACCTTTCTTATCCTGTTTCTCTCTATCTTTCTTGGCCTGTTTGTTTGGATTTAAACCATAAGTTTAACGTCCGTGTCAGCTTATCACCATATTGGATTCAGAATTACTGCAATTCCAACTAGCGGAAAAGGGACGTAACTCCATTGCATTTTGAGTTAACCTCCGCATTTCACTCTCCATAAAAATCGGCCCGGTTCCTTGTTAAAACTGTACTCCAAATTTTGTATCAAAAACATGTCAAATACGAATAAATGTCCTTCGTGTGCAAATGTTTCTTTTCCACTTTGACTAAGAATTTCCATTTTCGGTGTGATGAAAAGTTAAAACATTAAATACCATTTAGCCAAATAGACTGTCTTAATTAATAAATCACTCAGACAAAGAGTTAAACTTTAAAAATCTCTACGACGCAAAGCCGATGTAAGAGATGTGCACACTATGACAGTCAACACTGGTCTGAAGCTATGAATTCGACGCCAGCGTTGAGTTGTCATAGCGCTGGTAGTGAGTTTCACCGGTGTTGAGTCGGCCGTGTTGAGTCGGCCGTGTTGAGTCGGCGGTGATGAAATGTGCCTTCCCGTATTTTCCTTGACCCAACCCCAGGCCCATTTAAAGAAATTCTCAGACCCACTTTGAGAATCGCTGATTTGGAACACTGTGAAAATGGGGGAGATTCGAATTCGTGAAAGTAGCGTGACATATCTTAACGGTTTGGTGGAGCCCATCTGAACATCTAGCATTGCAACTACCGATCAAGTAGCAATAAGCCTGCAGCATTGAGCCTGAGGCAAAAACAAAAAAAAAAAGGTTGCAAAGGGGGTAATTATTCTTTCGCTACATCAGCGCGAAAACGATTTTTAACTGCATCTTTTCACGACAAGAAATAACGAAAGGCAGTGAAAATACAGGGTGCAATGGATAAATTGTCGTCTAAATTACGCGGGAATAAATCTTACGTTCTTATCTTGTTTAGATACGTTCATATCACCCTGTTTGTCTTTAGACATCTATCTATCTATCCCAGTCTGTTCATATATATATTTCTCTCTCTCCCCTCTCTCTCTCTCTATATATATATATATATATATATATATATATATATATATATATTCTTTATATTTTGATCTATTTTTTTTCATTTTTATCTATCTGACAATTTATCTATCTTAATATGTTCATATATCTTTATTCATATCTATCTATCTATCTATCTATTTATCTATCTATCCCAGTCTGTACATTTATATATTTCTCTCTCCATATATATATATATATATATGTGTGTGTGTGTGTGTGCGTGTCTGTGCGTGTGTATATGTTTGTGTGTAGAAGTTTCATTATATTTTGATCAATCTTTTCATTTCATGTATCTATCTATCTATCCATGTTCATATCTATGTATCTATCTATCTATCTATCTATCTATCTATCTATCTATCTATCTATCTCAGTCTGTCCATGTCTTTATTCATATCTATCTATCCCAGTCTGTTCATATATATATTTTCCTCTTTCTCCATATATATATATATATATATATGTGTGTGTGTGTGTGTGTTTGTATAAGTTTCCTTATATTTTGATCAATCTTTTCATTTCATCTATCTATCTATCTATCTATCTATCTATCTATCTATCTATCTATCTATCTATGTCTTTCTCTCTTTCTCTCTCTATCTTTCTCTCTCTCTCTATATATATATATATATATATATATATATATATATATATATATATATTTCATTATATTTTTCATTTTTATCTATCTATCTATCTATCTATCTATCTATCTATCTATCTCTATTCATGTCTATATTTTCCTCTCTCTTTCTTTCTTTCTCTCTTTCTCTCTGTCTTTCTCTCTCTCTCTCCATATATATATATATATATATATATATATATATATATATATATGCAGGTTTCATTATATTTTGATTTATCTTTTCATTTTTATCTATCTATCTGTTTGTCTATGCATGCTATCTATCTACACCAGCCTGTTTATATCTCTATTCCTCTCTCTCTCTTTCTCTCTCTCTTTCTCTCTCTCTCCATATATTTACATCAAATTAAATATTCATTGTTTCCAGACAATTCTACTGGAACTGGAGGAACATTAATATAAATCATTGTAAATGTTGATTTAAAGAATGATTCTGCAGAGATGTCAACAGTTGGAATAAACGACCTACCAGCAGATGCACCCCGCTAATATTAATCATTGAAATTTATAGACTGGAAGATAATTTCATTTCCTTCCAATTTCATTGCACAATTCGCGATGCATTGTTGCAGATTAAAGTGAGCGTGTAAAACTGTCAGATCATTGTGATTCACATAGATTACTCCAAATAGGTGACCTTTATTATTTAAGGCAGGCATATACAAATTCCGTGCTGTCCCTTGCTGCTTGGGTTTCGCAGCCCACTTCTTCAAGAAAGGGAAGTCTTCGGCAAGTGTTTGTATCATGTCCTCGTGGATTTTCATGTGTTTCATACCTTTCTTTTGATGATACTGTTCGGGCTTCTCTTCTGTCTATTATTATTATTATTAGCTCGCACCTTTGAATGGGTCTCATCTGCATAGTTATCACGAGAGAAATCTGAATTAGTTCTTCTAGTTTGATTAGAAGTGGGAGTGTGTTGCCACAACAAAAATATTCAGCTATGGCTCTTCTTTCTGGGTGAGGCTAAGAAGGTTT